GAGAAGTTTTACACCATATTCAGGCTTTCATCTTAGGCAATCTCTACACCGAATTACAGAAATCCTCTTTGAAAATGTCTGACCTACTATGAATTTGACCTACCATTCTGTGACAAAGTTAAACCCTCAGTCTGAATTCCAAGCTGCCTACACACATCAGTAAGCATCCCGTTAGTAAGACATAAACTGCTAAAGCTTCATCATATTGTGTATTCAGGAAATAAACTTCCCTCCTCTCATGGAGTGTAAGAGAATAAAAACAGACCTGATAATTGAGAACAATCTGTTTTTGGCAGCCTGGTTTCTTTTAAACAAACGTCTCATGATTAATTCCTCTTTCCAGAAGACTGCTTTCCTCTTTCCAGAATTCCTCTTTCCAGAAGACTGCTTAGAAATATTCTAAGAAGCAACTTAGAATATTCTAAGACACAGAATTCTTAGAATATTTCTAAGACACAGAACTTTCACTATGGTCTGGTCTTCAAACTATTTGTGTCTATCTGCAGTGATCACTGATTGCTTGCCCCAAAGCCAATCCCAAATGAAATTAGTATTCTATATGCAAGGTTAAGCATCAAAATTGTGAGCACCCAGAACGGCACAGGGCAGCCATTAGTCAGAGGGGACACTGATCCCAGCACCCCAGCTGGGTTCTGGAGACCACCCTGTTCTGCCTGTAGCTATTTAACTCCATGGAAGTGGACAGGGGGAAGATGATGACAATTTTGTGATGGGTATCACTCAGGAAGCTCAAAACAGATCTATTTACCAAAAAATAAAGACCTATTTCCCTATCTTAACAACCAATAAGGCCATACTAGTTCCTCCTTCCAAGTATGTGCCCTACTGGATGAAAATCGGAAGAGGTGCAGGAATTCAGCATATGCACTGCCACCTCAAATTCCCGGCATTAAAAGACAGTTTTAAGAAAAAAAAATCAACAACATAAGAAAAAACAGGTGTTGGTGAGGATGTGGAGAAAAAGGAACCCTCTTACAGGGTTGGCAGGAACGCAAAATGGCACAGCCACTATGGAAAACAGTATGGAGGATCCTAAAACAGTTAAAAATACAACTACCCTATGATTCAGTAATTCTACTATTAGATATTTACCCAAGAATACAAAAACACTGATTCAAAGTGATACATGCACATCTAGGTTTATGGCAACATTATCTTTAATAGCCAAGATATGGAAGCAGCCCAAGTGTCCATTGATAGATGATTGGATAAAGAAGGTGTGGTACACACACACACACACACACACACACACACACAGGAATATTATTCAGTCATAAAAAAAGAATGAAATCTTCCCATTTGCAATGATATAGTTGGCGCTAGAGAGAATAATGTTAAGTGAGATAAGCCAGTCAGAAAAAATGTATACCATATGACTTCACTCACATGTATAGTTTAAAAAACAAAACAAATGAGCAAAAGGGGTAAAAAAGAGAGACACAAACCAAGAAATAGTCTCTAAACTACAGAGAACTGATGGTTACCAGAAGGGAGATGGGTTGGGGGTGGGGGTTGTGAAATAGGTAATGAGGATTAGTGTTAGGATTAACACCAGATGATTAAAATAAAAACTTTTTAAAAATGAAGAAAATACCTCAAAATAGTTTAAAAGATTTTAAGGTTTTATTTATTTGAGAGAGATGGGGCAAGGAGGGACAGAGTGGAGGGAAAAGCAGACTCCCCACTGAGCAGAGAGCACAAGGTGGAGCTCAACCCCAGGACCCTGGGATCACAACCTGAACCGAATGCAGATGTTTAACTAAGCCACCCAGGTGCCCCTAAAAAGTTTTAATCTTGCAGATCAAATTAAGACTACTTTTATTTTCTTTAAAAAAAAAAAAAAAAAAAAAAAAGACAGTTTTAAGAGCTGAATTATGTAAAATTTGAAATCTCTATTTAAATGGAAATACTTGAGAGAGAAACTCCTTAAGGCATTAGGACCTATTATCATGTTGGTACCTATTAGTTGAAGACACAGGCAGTGGACACTGGAAAGCAGGGAAGAGTTGTGGGAGGCAAGAAACGCTGCTCTGGTCTAGAAGTTTACCAAGATGAGGCAAACAGGGAAGGTGGACATGTTCTGAGGGTAGCCTGGAGTCCTGAGGAGCACGGTGAGTATATCAGACGCCACCTAGCGGACTTGCAAACCCCTCCTAACCAAACGTGTTGTGGTAGCAAAATTCCATTCCATCACAGTACACAAACTGATGCCATAGCTGGTTTGACTTTTTCCCACATTGTTCTACGATAAGAGAGTAAATTAATTCAGTGCTGTCAAACATTCCCTAACACTTTTCTTAAAGACATATTCATCAACAGTTATTTAAAGGTAGAGCTTGTAATAGCCAACCCCTCTTACAGAAATTTAGATTCCTTGTAAGCAACCCATCACACCATTTTAAAGATGTCTAAGGAAGTGGCTCAATTGAATTCTTGTGAAATAACCACAGATGGTTAAGGAAAAAAGAAGATGAATGGCCCAGACTTACAGAGCCATATAAATGAGTCACTACTAATAAAAGGTACCTTTTCAGGAAATCTGGCAAATTATCTTAAAAAGGAGCTTAGATAGTTTCATTATTCTAATTCTGATTTGAAATAATTTCACATTCACACAACAGGCAAGAGTGAAGGGACCTTTGTAATTCAGTAAACTTATGAGCATTATGATATTTGTAAATATGTATCCGACAATAATTTTAATTTTCTATCACTCTGTCAACAAGTTTTCATGTGCCATTAGGATGGTTTATAAGCTAATTCAATTCAGTTATATCAGAAAAATTTTTCTCCCTGGTTTTTCAATGCATTTGATTTTAACATATTACAAGTTCTTTAATATTGATCATTTTTCTAATGGAAGTATTGATCCCACCACATAGGTGCTATTATTTTCCCCAACTGAAAAAACATGTCAGAGCTATAGGTCTGAGCTCTATGTGGAGGAGAATATGGCATCTCTCATTATAAAGTTACCTACATGTGCATGTGGTGAGGGAGATGGTAACGATTTAAAAAACCAAAATTACCTTTTAATATAGTATCAATGTGTTTTTTTCTATTTCAGCTCTTTTATTCTCTTCCTCAAGGACTTGAGAAAGGGCCCAATTATATCATTCCAGAGACACTGAAGCCCAAAAGTTAATAATATTCAAGAAGCAGAAAAGAGCTTCTGGTCCAAGATGGTGATGTAGACCCTGAACTCCCTCCTCCACAGACACACACAATCTATCGATATGTATAGAGCAGTTCCTCCTGAAGAGCTGAGGGCTGACTGTACCGTTTCTGGACAGCACAAGATAGAGAGACAACAGAGAGAACGCAGGAGATGGAGCACCCTGCCAAATGGTGGGAGAGCTGCTGGAACACTCTCGTGGGAGAGGGGCTGCTAAGTGCCAAGTCTTAAATTCTGCTTCCACTTTGATAGTGTGGTCAAGAGTTCAGGCACCACAGTCAGCCTGCCACTTCAGGGAGCTCTGAGTCCCTAGTCTAGGGGCGCCTGGGTGGCTCAGTGGGTTGAAGCCTCTGCCTTCGGCTCAGGTCATAACCTCAGGGTCCTGGGATCAAGCCCCACATAAGGCTCTCTGCTCAGCAGGGAGCCTGCTTTTCCCTCTTTCTCTGCCTGTCTCTCTGTCTACTTGTGATCTCGCTCTCTGTGTCAAATAAATAAATAAAAATCTTTATTTAAAAAAAAAAAAAAAAAAGAGTTCAGGCACCAGAGTCAGCCTGCCACTTCAGGGAGCTCTGAGCCCCTAGTCTACTGTGGTACACAGAAAAAAAAACAACTGATGTTTCAAAGACCAAATAGAATATAAAGGATCCAGTCCTAGAACTCCATCAAATAGCAGAGAACGGCCTGAACTCTCTTCAGGTCAAAGGGTTGACAAGCTCCAAAGTTTGACTTTGGCTTTTCTGCCTCAGTGTAGACACCAGCAGGATCCAAGCACCCTAGCAGCCTACCTCCTCAGTGAGCCCCAGGCCCCTTGCCGCACCAAGCATCTAACTAAGGCAGCCCCAGCACATTCACACTGAGACACCTCTCATCAGCAGACACTACAACTCAAGCTGTCTCAGCAAGGTGACATAGGCACAAAGCACCTCCAACACTCCAGGTTCACACCACTTTAGCTCTAGACAACTTTCTGATGCACCCCCAGACCAAGTCCTCCAGAACTTCCCAGCTCACATCCACCTCAGCTCCAGCAACCCCAGAGTGTCCCCAACTCTGAGCACCCCAAAGAGATCTTGGATAGTATCCACTTCAGCTTCAGTTGTCCTATCAGGATTCCCGGTGCATAGAGAGATGCAGAACTGTCCCATGCCCACTTCAGGTCCAACTATGGTACCAGGGCACCTCTACCTGGACAGCCCCAGGACAGTCCCAGCCCATGCCCACTTCACTATCCACCTCATTAGGGCAGCCCCAGCACAGACTGCCCCAGGACCCTTAACCCACACCAGCTCTAGCAAGCCAGGTAAAGTCACCAGGCACCCACAATCTAAACAGGGGACATTCCTACAGAAGACCACTGCTTCAACCTAAGACAGTAGCTGTTCCACTTAATTCATAAAACACACACACACACACACACACAGAAAGTCAAGAAAAATTAAGAGAAAATGGAATATATTTCAAATAAAAGAACAAGATAAAACCTCGGGGTGGGGGGAAACTAAGTGAAATAGAGATAACCAATCTGATAAAGAGTAATGGTCATAGAGATGCTCACTAGACTCAAAGGAAGAGTGGATGAACTCACTGAGAACTTCAACAAAGAGATAGAAAATATTAAAAAGAACCAATCAGAGGTGAAGAATACAGTAACTGAAATGAAAAAGTACACTAGAGGGAATCAACAGATTAACCGATGCAGAAGAATGAAGCAGCAATCTGGAAAACATGGTAATGGAAAGCAAACAAACCAAAGAGAAAAAAAATGTTTTAAATGAGTATAGGTTAAGAGATCTCCTGGACAACATCAAACAAACATTTGCTTAAGAGGGGACCTGGAAGAACAAAAGAAAGAGAAAGGGGCAGAAAAAAATTTTTGAAGCAGTAGTAGCTGAAAACCTTCTTAATCTGCAGAAGTAAACAGACACTGAGGTTAAAAAAGAATACATCAATTAAGATGAATGTAAGGAGGCCCATACAACAATACCTTGTAATTAAAGTGTCTAAAATTTAAAATAAAGAAGGAATTTTTAAAGCATCAAGAGAGAAGCAACTAGTAATATACAAGAGAACCCCTAAAAGGCTATCAGCTGATTTTTCAGTAGAAATTTTGCAGGCCAGAAGAGTGGCATGGCATATTCAAAGTGCTGAAAGTAAAAAAAAAAAAAAAAAAAAAAAAATCTATAAACAAGAATACTCTACCCAACAAGGTTATCATTAAAAATAGGAAAGATAAAGAATATAAATTTAAAGAGTTTAAGATAAAAAGTTATAGAAGTTCATCAATACTAAACAAGCCTTGTAAGAAATGTTAAAGAGGTTTTATGACATGGAAAAGAAAAAGGCAAGTTCAAAAATTTTTAAAGGAAACAATTTCATGTGTACAATCAAATATCCAGTAAATGTTGTAGAGCAATCACTTATACAGCTAGTATGAAGATCCGAAATCAGAAGTAGTAAAACCAGGGCCCCCAAGTGGCTCAGCTGTTTGAGCAACCAACTCAGTTTTGGCTCAGATCATGATCTTGGGGTCATGACATGGAGCCCTGGGTGAGACTCTGAGCTCAGTATAGAGCCTGCTTGAGAGAGTCTCCCTCTCCCCCTGCTCCCTGCACCCCTGCCTGCTCATGCTCATTCTCTCTCTCAAATAAATAAAATCTTTAAGAAAAAAAAAAAAAGGTAGTAAAACCAGTTATATCTTAAAAAATGAGTTAAGGAGACACACAACTTTACAAAATGTAAAATATGACAACACATATATAAAATGTGGACATGGAGAGGAAAAATGAAGTTCTTTTAGAATGTGTTTGAACTTTAGTGACCACTGACTTAACATAGATTGCTATATACTTAAGATATTATATATGAACTTCATCATAACCACCAACCAAAATCCCATGATACATAAAAAATAAAGAGAAAAAAGTCAAGCATTACACTACAGGAAGTCCTCAAACATAAGACAAAAGAGCAAAAGAAGAACAGAGCTACAAAAAAACAAACAAACAAAAAACCCCACAGAAAATTAACACAATAGCAATAAGTATATAGCTAAGAATTACTTTAAATGTAAATGGTCTAAATCCTCTAATTAAAAGCTATAGGGTGGCAGAATAAAAAGGACACCCATCCATATGCTGCCTACAAAAGACTCACTTCAGACCTATAGATGTGCAGACAAAGTGGAAGGATGGGAAAAGATATTCCATGCAAATGCAAGCAAAGGAACTTGTATCAGACAAAACAGACTTTTTTTTTTTTTTTTTTTTTTGACAGAGAGAAAGTGATCACAAGCAGACAGACCAGCAGGCAGAGAGAGAGGGAGAAGCAGCCTCCCTGCTGAGCAGAGAGCCCAATGTGGGGCTCGATCCCAGGACCCTGAGATCATGACCTGGGCTGAAGGCAGAGACTTAACCCGCTGAGCCACCCAGGTGCCCAGACAAAACAGACTTTTAAACAAAGATTTTAACAAGAGAAAAAGAAGGGCACTTTTTTTTTTTTTTAAATTACCTTGCATGTGCCCTTTTATTTTTTTATTTTTTTTTTTTTAAGATTTTATTTTTATTTATTTGACAGAGAGAGAGAGATCACAAGGAGGCAGAGAGGCAGGCAGAGAGAGAGAGGAGGAAGCAGGCTCCCCGCTGAGCAGAGATCCCGATGTGGGGCTCGATCCCAGGACCCTGAGATCATGACCTGAGCCGAAGGCAGAGGCTTTAACCCACTGAGCCACCCAGGCGCCCCCCCCCCTTTGTTTTTTTTTCTGTTTTTTTTACAATAAAAAAAATGAACCATTGCTTCAATGTACCTGTCTAAAGCTTCGGCTACCAGGGGAGTCAGAACAATATCAACAGTCCCTTTCACTTCAACTATGGCTGTGGTCCTGGTCTGAGAGACCGGCTGATCCAGGGTCCACTCTTCTGCCAATGTTTCATCATCTGTGTTATCAACCGTTTTCTTTTCCAGAGGAGTGTATGGTGTATTTGAAGTTGATCCTGAAAGTTGCATTCCTCTGTCTAGTAAAGAATTAGCTGTGAGCCCCTGTTTGATAACCTTAAAAGTTGGAACAGAAAGCTGTTCAAATGATGATGAGCTTTCTTCACTGGTTGGAGTATCCAGATCAAGGGGACGATGCAATGAGGACTTAGAGGTTCTTTTGTTAGTAGGGTGCTTCACTGACCAATTAATTACCTGGAACTGAGTAAGATAAGTCTGATAGCAATTCATCACAGGTTGTTGAGAAGTAATCTGTTCACTCTCTAGTGTTTTCTCAACCTCTACAACATACGGATGTTCTATAACATCATCTTCTCCACCTAATGCAGAAACAAATGAAGCCTGGGAAGGATGAGTTTTGAATGGCAGAGTTCGGGGATCCTGAATGGTCTCTCCATGGCCAGTAAGTGGTCCTTCTACACTGTGATATATGGAACCCCTACTGTAGTCAATCTGCTGTGTTTGCTTTTTCTTCTTTTTTCTACCTGGATAAGTTCCAGGGCCTTCATCACTGCTAATGGGCTCAAATTCCTCGGCTGCAGAAAAGTAGGCTTCACTATCAGCCATTGACATGCTGGAATCCATTGACCGATATTGATGAAATGAATTGGAGTCTGCCGATGGTGTGTATGGAAATGAACCAAAACTTCTTCTCTGCTTTGGTGAGTCTAATACATTCTCATCACTTCGGGAGACATCACTACTAAACTGGACTCCAACTGTAACAGGCTGCTTGTCCCCATAAAAAGCAGCAGTAAGGCTCTTGGTACTCCCAAGTCGAGTGGAACATACAGAAGCTTGTCGTTTCAAGGGGCAATCCAACATGATGATATAACAATTGTACATATCTATGCACCCAACATTGGAGCACCTAAATACATAAAGCAAATACTGACAGACATAAATGGAGAAATTGACAGTAATATGATAATGAAGAAATTTAATACCCCACTTAAATCAATGGATAAATCACCCAGATCTCAATAAGTGAACATTGGCTTTGAATGACATAGGAGGTCACACTGACCTAACAGAAATACATAGAACATTCCACTCAAAAACAGAATATACTTTTTCAAGTGCACGTGGAACATTCTCCAGGATAGGTCACATTTTAGGCCACAAAACAATGTGGCCTAAATGAACTTAACAAGACTAAAATTAAAGCATGCATCTTTTCAAACCACAATGCTATGAAACAAATTACAAGAACAGCAATAAAAAAAGAAAAAACTGGAAAAGACACACACAGAGACTAAGCAACATACTACTACACAAACAGTGGATTGGCCAAGAAACCAAAGGGAGGGGGAGTACATGGAGACAAAAGCAGAGACCCAACCCTCCCAAGTCTTTGGGGTCAAGTAAAAGTAGTTCGAACAGGAAAATTTATAGCAATATAAATTTGGGGCAGGGTGGGGACAAAAAAATTCCATCTAACCTTATTAGTAAAAGAAAACTAGAAAAAAATAAAGTAAAATAAACCCAAAGTTAGTAAAAGGAAGGAAATAATAAAGACAAGAGCAGGAAAAAATAATAGAAACTAAAATAACAATAGGGGAAAAGAAAAATCAATGAAATCAAGATCTGCTTCTTTGAAAAAATAAACTAAGTTGACAAACCTTTAGCGAGAATCTTAAAAAAAGGGAATGGGGGTGGGGAGAGAACCCAAATAAATAAAATCAGAAGTGAAAGAGAATAGACTACACCACCCCATAGAAATATACCAAAGAAACCCAAAGATCATAACAGACTGCTACAAATAATTATATGCCCACAAACTGGACCATCGAGAAGAAATGGATAAATTCCTAGAAATATATAATCTCCCAAAACTGTACCAGGCAACGGAAAATCTGAACAGACATGTAATGAAACTGAACTGATAATCAAAAAGTTAACAACAAACAAAAGTCCAGGAAGGAAAGCTTCCAAATACATTCCAGGAGACCAGCATCACCCTCATAGCAAAAGCAAAGACACTACCAAAAAAGAAAACCACAGGCCAATATTGCTAACGAGCACATGCAAAACTCCTCAGCAAAATAGGAGCAAACCACATTTAGTAGTACATTAAAAGGATCTTTCACCATGATCACGTTGAATTTATTTTAGCAATTCAAGAATGGTTCAATATTTACCAATTAAAAGGATATACCCCATTAATAAATGAAAGGTAACAATCACGATTATTTCCGTAGACACAAAAAACATTTGACAAAATTCTCATCCATTCATGATAAGAACTCTTAATAAAATGGGTTCAGAGAGAACATACCTCAACATAATAAAGGCCTTATATGAAAAACTCACAGCTAACATCATTTTCAATGGTCAGGTCAGGCGCAAGACAAAGATGTCCACTGCCACCACTTTCCTTCAAGTCAGTGCTGGAAGTTCCTAGCCACCACAATCAAACAACACAAAGAAATAAAAGGCATCCAAAACAGTAAGGAAGAAGTAAAATTTTTAAATTTAAAATATGTAATGTAATGTAAATTTTAAATTTTAAAATTTAAAATATGTAATGCCATATAGAGAAAATCCTAAAGACACTACCAAAAAGCTTTTAGAAGTAATAAACATAGTAAAGCTGCAGGATACAAAGTGTACAGAAACCTGCTGCATTTCTAATATGCTAATAATGAAGTAGCAGAAAGAGAAATTAAAACCATCCCATTGACAACTGCATCAAAAATAAAATGCCTATGAATAAACTTAACCAAGGAGATAGACCTATACTCTGAAAACTTTAAAACATTGTTCAAAGAAATTCAAGGTGACACAAACAAATGGAAAGACATATACCATGCTCCTGGATCAGAAGAATTAATACTGTTAAAACGCCCCTATTACCCAAAGCAACCTACAGATTCAAGACAGTCCCATCAAAACACCAACAGTATGTTTCACAAAACTACAACAAATACGAAGATTTATATGGAAACACAAAAGCCCTCCAATAGCCAGGGAAATCTTGAGAAGGAAAAAGCTGGAGATATCACAATCCCAGATTTCAAAGTATAATATAAAGCTGTAGTAATTGAAACAGTATGGTACTGGCACAAAAATAGATAGAAAGATCAATGGAACAGGATAGAGAGCATAAACTACTGAGATTACACCAAAATAGAAAGTTTTTGCACAGTAAAAGAAACCATGAACAAAACAAAAAGGCAACCAACTAAGAGAAGATATTCTCAAATGACATATTTGATAAAGGGTGAGTATCCAAAAACATATAAAGAATTTATACAACTGAACATCAAAAAACAAACTGGATTTAAAAATGGGCAAAGGACTTAGACATTTTTTGAAAGAAGACATACAGATGGCCAACAAACATATGAAACGATGCACAACATCACTAATCCTCAGAAAAATGCACATCAAAAATAGTGAGATCTAACCTTAAACTTGTCAGATTAGCTAAAATAAAAAAAACAAGAAGTAGTGTTAGCAAGGATGTGAAGAAAAAGGAACTCCAATGCACTATTTGTCGAAATGTTAATTGGTGCAGCTACTATAGGTAACAGTATGGAAGTTCCCCAAAAAATTAAAAATAGAAATACCATATGATCCAGTAATTCCACTACTAGGTATGTATCCAAAGAAAACAAAGGTACTAATTCAAAAAGATAGGTGCACCCTTATGTTTATTGTAGCATCATTTACAATAGCCAAGATATGAAAGCAGCCTAAATGTCTTTTTTTTTAAATATTTTATTTATTTAACAGAGAGAGAGAGAGAGGGAGAGAGATATCACAAGTAGGCAGAGAGGCAGGCAGAGAGAGCAGGCTCCCCGTTGAGCAGAGAGCCCAATGTGGGGCTCGATCCCAGGACCCTGAGATCATGACCTGAGCTGAAAGCAGAGGCTTAACCCTCTGAGCCATCCAGGCGCCCCCTAAATGTCTTTTGATAGATGAATTGATAAGGATGTGCCATACACACACACACACACACAATGGACTATTATTCAGACATAAATTAAGAATGTGATCTTGCCATTTGTGACAATATGGGTGGACCTAGAGGTTATTGTGCTAAATGATATAAGGCAGACAAAGTCAAATACCTTAAGAGTTCTCTTGCATGTGGAACCTGAAAAAAACAAAATAAGTGGGGGGATAAAAGGGCAGAAACAGATCCATAAGTACAGAGAACTGGCTGGTTGTTGTTGGGATTAGAGGTGTGGGGGTATGGGTAAGATGAGTGAAGAGCAGTGAGGGCTACAATCTTCTAGTTATGCAAGATAGAGCATAAGGGTTACAGTCAATGGCACTGTAGTAAGTGCTCTCTGGTGAGAGCTGGTAGCTACACTTGTAGTGAATATAGCAGGTCATATAGAGTTGTTGAATCACTATGTTGTATACCTGAAATACTGTGACATAGTATGTCAACTATACTTGAACTTTTAAAAAGGCAGGGGAAAAAATGCAAATTTTTAAAAAGAAAAAAAAAAAAAAAAGCCAGGAAAGTTAGGATCTTCTAACAATTGTAAATGAAGCACAAAAAAGCTAAATGTTGGGTGCAAGTTGGGGATCAGCCCATAAGCAGTCCGTAGACAGAGTTGGGACCATCACACTGGAGAGATTTATTTGGAAGTCTGGATGGGGGTAAAAGGAGGGCATATGGAAAGACATAAAAAGAATCTTGCTCCTTCCAAATAAGCACTCCTTAATTTTGATGAAAGAGAGAGTACCAACCAACCCAGATTCTACAGCCTGTCTTTCTGGGTTCAAACCCAGCTACAATTCTTTTGACAAAGTTACCAAGTCTCCTAGCATGTCAGATGAGAATAACAAGAGGATCTACCCCCATAGGATTGTTGTTAAGGATTAAAGGAGTCAAATTAAATGCTTAAAGCTCTTACAGCAGTCTCTGGCAAATATAGGACGCTGTCCATTCTCACTAAAAAATAAAATGAGAGAGGCGCCTGGGTGGCTCAGTCGGTTAAGCATTTGCCTTTGACTCAGGTCACAACACCAGAGTACCGAGATAGAGCCATGCAGAAGGGTCCCTGCTCAGTAGAGAGCCTGCTTCTCCCTCTGCCCCTCACTACACTTGTGTTTGCATGCTCTATCAAATAAATATTTAAAATAAATAAAATGAGATTTAGGAGATAGATCAATAGGGATCAAATAATTTCATGTGACCCACTCACTTCAATACCTCATACAACATCCCATAAGCCATATGCCTTCTTGTAGCCCTGATTTTAATTAGTGTGGGAGTCCAAAAGATCACAGGTCTCAATCTTCTGAATCCCCCAGACTTTCTCCATCCATGCTTCCAACAGCAGAGGCGTAGCTAAGCCTAACCTCCAGCCCTTCAAGGCAGTAGCAGAAACAGTTGGGCAGGAAATGTGATTAAATTCAGGTCCTGCCAGTATTTCCACATGCTTATTTTCAGAATGGTTTAATTAAAGTTTCTGACATGAAGAGAGCTATTTCTGTTCATCTATTCAGAGCTGGTTATAGAGGGGGAAAAAACTGAAATAGGCTGTTTCAGTCAATTTGTAACAATATAGTTGTACAATTAAGCTGGAAGGGTACAAAGAAAGTTAGTCTATATAATTTTTCCTCTTATGAAGGTATTCATTATAGAACAAATTGAGGTCTCAAATAGAATAATGTTGAGACAAACCAGTCAAAGGAAAAGATAGCAGTTTCAAAATGTTCAATGCGGACCCAATGTCCAAAATTTTAATTGTGTCCCCACTTTATTAGTAATTCATTCTAAAAAGCTACAGAATGGTCAAACTGATTAAGGCACTGTTTATTGCTTATATTATATTTAAATATTCCTATAGATTATAAACATG